GACTCCTGGTACTATTCTATTCTTGTTGTTCTTTTGATACAGGAGAACACTAACATTTAATTTTTGATGTTGCATGTTTTAAAGAAGCTATGGGAGGTGATACGTCCTAATACTTAAAGGACACCTATCATGCTATATTTAAATGATATATTGTAGGGCCATACCCAGGGACGTGCACAGACATTTGGAGGGGCTATTGCTCTAAACTGGAAAAAGGCCCTCCCCCCCGAAAAAATATATAAGACCAAAACGATTATTACATTAACTAATTTGAACAGTAATTCACATCATCATCTCATAACACAATACAAAAAGGCAACTACTTGCATTCGGTGACATTTTTTGTTTTGCGGTCCATATCTCATTAAAATATCTAATGTTAGAAACTACTAAAGAAAAAATGGGGACAATTCAATGTAGTTTGACCATTGCAGACATACTGATAAAATAGGCCTTCTATAATTACCTTAAATAAACTCACTAATTAATTAAACCAGTTCAATACGCATTATTCTTATTCTTATCATTCTTTATGAGCACAGTAATGTGTAAGGTATCTAATTACTTATTTATTTAGTATTCCATAACTTAATAACAGAGATGGTCAAATTAAATTAGAGACATGGCAGAAATCCTACAATGAAGCGGGCAGTGAAGTGTTCTCTGAGAGAGGGCGATCAAGAAAAAGAGCGCGTTGAGGGAGTTTACCATGCGGGCATGTAAGAAGAAGGAGAAGAAGAAAAATGAAGCTGGTGTGTTTCCCGCAGCGAGACACTACAATACTAATTGTGGGCTTATCATGTTGATTCGACCACAACAGCAAGAAAAAAAAACCTCTCGCTCTCTCCAGAGGGGCAGGTCAGCCAAAAAGGGGAAACGGGCCGTTGCCCGGGCAACAATAGCCCGTACCTGTGCACGTCCCTGGCCATATTAAACATATGTTGTGTAATATAGGTGCTCAGAAAGAGGATTTACTGTAATTTACAGATTAGCATGGGTTAAGGATTTTATACATATATAAGTTAAACCCCTAAGTGTGTGAATGTACACACATATTTGTTGTGTAACTATAGTCCTCAGTGATGTATATGGAGTGCAGTTGAGTACCCTGCAGGGTTTGGCTGGTGGGAACAA